GACGTGAATATCATGGAGATTTTTACATAAATTTCATTAAATTGCAATGAGATTATAGAACATCAAAAAAATTTTTAGTTACAGAGGGGAGGATTGTTTGGGGAGAAGTGCTTCATGAATCTGTTATATGACGAGAAATTTGTGGCTAATTGCAAACAAATTTAATAAAATTGTAATTATGTTAGGTATGTTAATGGACCCAAGTTCCAAGATTTAAAATTCATTGTGTCTATGTTGAGCATAATATAAAAGCTAATGTTCAAATGAAGTGATAAGATTATGAATGATTGATTATAGGAAGATTATAGAATATGAGGAAATGCCTACGTGTGCATCTTGAATGATATGTTGTGGAGAACTACCTTTGGAGCATATCATGGGACAAGAGTTTGTCATGGAGATTTTCACATAAATTTTATTAAATTGCTGTTTGGCCATGGTATATGGACCTGAGTTTTGCGATGGTAAAATTCAGTGACAGTCAATTGGAGTGAAGTGGATATGAAAATGCTTAAATTGTTGCCACAAAAAGATTATGGAATGATTACAGTAGAAAGATAATGACAGTAGCATTTATGAAAAATTAATGTAGTGGAGAATAAATTTGGATGGCTTGAAAAAATCATAGATATCTATACTGATTTGATAAATAATATTTAAAAAACAAGATGACTTGTGAGTTTTAGTGACCAACTAGAGACCAAGAGGTGGAGGTAGTGTGAAGTGATCGTGTTAGAAGCATTATTGGAATGAAACATGTGAGCAATAAACTACTAGAATCAACAATAAGAATCAATGAGAGGCACACAAGTAAATTGACAGGTGAGAGAGCATGCAGAGAAAACTTAAGAAGTAATTAGATGCTATGGGATGGAACATATAATCAATAAATAATGACTCATTGACTATTCTAAATAGCAGGGAAAAGTGAGTGTTTATGCTTAATTACTGCGACAAATGCTGTACCAAATCCTGAATATTAAGGTTCGTTTTTGTTTTTATTCTAGAGCCAGCTGTGCAATGTTGTGTTGCACACGGTGAAGCATTTGCAAAATGTGTGCTCTGCTTCGAGTCATTTTGGTATTAATATTTAAGAAACAGTTCAAGATTATGGTAGTTATACTGGGATCACTCTTGAGTTATATATTGAAATTATGGAAGAATGTAATTAATCATAAGCTTAAAAATAAGTTGTTGATCAAGAATCAAATTGATATTATGCTTGAAGTTTGATCTAATTGGTATTTTGTTTTCATGTAAATTAATTTGTATATAAAGAAATGATATTTATATGATCTTTTTTTATTTTGAGACGGTATATGATCCGCAGGAATTTATTTGATGCACATGAGAGGAAGAAATTTTAAATGTATGTTTTAGTCTATGAATGATTACTTGATGGAGAATTGACTCGTCATTGTTGTGGAGTGTTACAGCAAAACAACATTACCTGTCTATCTTTTTTGTTGATTATGTTAATGCTTTTTAAGTGATATAATACGATGTGCTTCAATATCAAGATAATGTACAATTGGTTCAAGGAATTGATATAGTATTTAGTTGAATAATGATTTAAATAAGGATATAAACTTTAAAGTTGGGGGATTGAAATACAATGTGCCTCAATATTAATTGGGAGTCTGAAAAATCATGAAAAGTTTTAGGTATTTTTTTTTTAAGATTATTATTAGACTAATTATTTGATGTGAATTTGAGTGTTGAAGGATTACCAACTCTCACTTTCAGCCAATCTCACTGTATTGGAAATGAGATTGTTAAAATAAATATATGACAAAATTGGGAAAGATAGGATGTAAAAAATGATTGGAAAGTTTGGTGAATTGGCCATACAATGGACATTGGAAATGGGTCGACTTGTATATTTTTTTAGATGACGGCTCTGGTTAGTTAAATATCTAGTTAAATAAATGGAAAATTAGAATGGCAGTGTTTAGAAGAAAAAAATGATAATAAGTTAAATGTCAAACGACATCAATTGATATTATTATGAGATAAAACAACGCTTATGTGTAAATGATTTTAAATAATTCTAGATGTATCATTCGAAAGAATGAGAATGCAAATGAGATGTGCCCAAGGAGTATAGTATGTTACTCGAAATTAATATGAAGACTTAAATTTAATATTTGTAAAATTGCTATTAGTAGGGTTGTAAACGAGCCGAGACTCGACTTGTGTTCGGGTCGTTCGAATTTGGTAGTGTTCGAAATTGGCTCGTGTTCGAAATTGCTCGTAAACAGTGTATTCGTGTTCGACTCGATTTTCTTATTTGTGTTAGTGTTCGGCTTGAAATTGACTCGTTAGAATAAAAAAAAAAATTATAATAATTATATTTTTAAATAAAATTAAAGTAATAATTTTGTATAAGAAAAATTGTTTGCATTAATATTTTTATTTCTAACCATAAAACATTGATTAATTAAAAAAAATTAAAGAATAAATTTGATACTAAACTTTACACAATAAGAATATCAATATTTGTTTGTCAAATAAATATATCACTTCAAAATTTTACTTCCCTTTTAAAAAATAAATTTATTACAAATTTATAATTTACAAACTAACAAGAGTACTAATATACTCTCAAATAAAAATCAAAACATAAAAAATAATTAAATTGCACATTTACATTTATAAAATTACACTTACACTGTTATACATACACTTATGACGTATGTACAACTAAAAAAATAAAAAAAACACATTAAAATTAAACTTTATGACTTTGTACTCATTTCTTGATTTTTATGTTTGAAGATCTAATGAGTAGTGATTAGTGAATGATGATGAGCCGATAACGTTCTTGTATCTGCAATTCTTACGTATTAGGAAAAAATAACTAGAAACCAAAATAAAAGATAAGATATAATTATTAAATGAGTCTTAGATTATATTTTATGAACTCATTTCATCACTTTCATGTAACTCAACTATCCGGTTGCATAATTATGTGCTTTCCAAGCATATTGAAATTGAAGTTAATATCTAAGACATCAATTTAAATTTCAGACAAACTATTGTAATCCTCCATTATAGTTTGCATAGGTGTTGCCTTTCAAAGTGTAAGAGTAAGAATAATAATCTCAGACAACTTTTTTTATTCTTATCTTCAAATGCTTGCAAACACGTATGCCATACCAATAATCAATAATGAGATTTTGTAATCATCATAGCCTATAATAACATCTTAACCAAAAATAAAAGAAAAACAAGAAATAATAGTGGAAATCTAATGAACCAACAGAGTCTCAGAGCAAACCAAACCATTGCACAAGTCCCAAAGAAGGTACAAAACAGATTGTTTCATAAAATATAAACAAGGAGCAATTTAAATAATATGGCAACATAAAATATAAACAAGGAGCAATTCAAATAAGATGGCAACATAAATAACCAACCAATAAGGAGTCTTTGATTTTCAGCAAGACACTGCTGCAAAGTTAGCTAAGTTATTCTTTCTTAGGCATTTGGAACTGTAAAGGACAAATAATCAAGGAACTCAATACATCAATTATTTATTTATGGCAGCTTTTCAAACAATATAAAAGCAACAAGATAGTTTTTCATTAATCTAAATTGATGAATCATGTAATCCAATAATGCAGCATTATAATTAAAAAGAATAAAAAAAATACAACCATAATCATTAATTAACTCACAAAAGCTATGATTTGAGAGAGGCCGCTTATCAAGTAAATGATTTTGGTCATCCAAACATGTTAAAAGGCTCTTTATTTGTTGTCAAGTTCCTCTCATTCTTGACTACAGATACTTCACGAAATTTCACAAAAAAGTTTTATTCTCAGCAACAAGATCCTTTTCACAACTGATAAAATATAATGTAAAGGTGAATCACAAATCTTCTCATACCATGTTACCAATAACCTTCTGCAGAAACCGTTTGCAGAAACCTAATAACCTAATCGTCTCATACCATGTTACCAAAAGTAGGAGGCTTACTTATAACAATAATTTAAGAGGATTTTAGATGAGAAGTGTTAAGTTTTTTTTTCATCTTCTTTCTCTTCATTTTAACTTTCTTTATGCTCGGCATGAGGGAAAGAAAAAGGAATTTAAGATGTCCTTGAAATTTATTTTTTCTTCATTTGAAATCGGGTGATTTCCAAATCTTGTGCTATGCTTTCTTTTGCTACGCTTGCCATTACTGCTCTTGCTTTCACTCACCATCCGTGCCAGTGATCTCACTCTCCCTACCCTCACCTAATTGCACGGAATTCAAGCTACTCTTTGTGTACCCTCTCTCACTGGGGCCACCGTAATGTGTTTGCTACCATGTTAAGTTCTTGCTCATTCATCAATCACCCTATTTTTTGTATTTCAATGCATTTGAATGTTGTTCCCACAAACATATAAATATTTTAATAAATTCAATTTCTATCCAACCAAACAATTGCATTTCTAAAACTTATGCATTTTAGAAGCATCCAACCAATCATCCCCTATCAACAAATTTTATTGCTTTAATTATCATGGGAGAATGTTTTAGTTATCATTGGAGAATGCAATTTATCATAAGCTTAAAAATAATGTTGATAATATAAAATCAATTTGCTTTTATGCTTTATGAATAATCTTGCTCGTGATTGTTTTTCTGTTGAAATTAATTTGAAAACGAAAACAATTGCATTAGGATGGGTCTCAAAGTTATTGGATTTATTTTTTATATGGGTGCAATGCATGGGGAGTTAATCAAAATCTCTACCGCACTAATCTCTAATCAAATCCAATGCTTTGCAACTCTACGTAACCAAAATTTTAGTCTGGATATCTAATCCAATTTTTTATTTGAAATTATGTATTATTGAAATGATGTTATTGTTTTCATTCCTTTAATGGTATATATTATCAACAAGATTTTTTTATTTGATGTCCAAGTATATGCTGAATACAAAAAAGGATTGAATGTATGATGAAACATTGGCTAATATTTCTTTTCGATACATCTCTCAATAATCTAGGGATTTATGAGCGCGACAGACAGAAATTGGAACCATCACATAGACTGGCGCTTCCTTCCATTCCACAGGCACCAATGGCACCGAGGCAAAGCTCTTGGCCTAACGTAGGTGGAGGAGAAGAAGGGCAGTCATCTCGCAAAATGACTTCGCCTTCGCCGGCGCTTCTGAAGCCGCTCTACTCATCAGGGAGAATGCAGTCCCAAGCAAGGCCTAATCCATATGATAGGAGGTTCCAGTGAGGAGAGTTTTCTAACCCAAAACTCAAAATCAGCTGTGAACAGCATTGATTTGTTAGACAGTCTGGATGAGCATCCGACATCTTATTATCCTTTGAAGATTGGTTAATCTTACAACTTGTATGCTGTACTATTGGCAAATTTATATTACTTGGTCTGCATTTCAAACTTACGAGATTTCTTCACCTGGTTCTCTCTCTCCCTTTATGCACAGGATATTAGTTTCAGATTGTGGTTGTTCCGATTTAGTTTCAGTGGCGTATGAGATTCTCCATTTTAACAAAAGAATTGTGCTGCTCATTTTTATCTCTCTCAGATGATTCTGAACTGGTTTAAAGCTGTAACTGAGCGACTCATGAGTGGGCTAGGGCTCTCCTTGATAAGTAGCTTGTAAGTTGAGTTCAATGAACTAATAAGTTAAACTTAAGCTTGAGCCAACTCAAGACTCGTTAGTTTGCTAGCCCTAATATGAAATGTACTAAATATGTTAAGATTTAAGATTTTATTTTTAAATATTAAAATTGTTTAAAAGTATTATATTTTATAACAAGTGCTTTTTTTATTATTCATCTTATTATATTTCATTCTTTTTGTCATTTTATTATACCATGTTAAATTAATATTGTTCTCTTTTATAAGTGAATAAATTGGTTTGTGAGCTGATTTGAATTTGTAAATTTCAGCTTCAACTAGAAGTCTCAAGCCCAGAGGGTGGTTTGAGTACGGTTTGGCTCGTTTGCATCCACATTATGACCTTTGTCATGATTGAGTTTTGGTGGCCGGCTTAAAAGAAGGGGGCATTTACAAATATATCATACAATTCGTATGTATTTACATATATTAACACCTATACCATCATATTCATATAAATAGCAATAAAATATGTAAAATCGCAAGAAAAAAATATTTCTGGATTTTCTGCTCTCTAGGTGCTGTGGTGCCTGCTGTCGTTTTGTTTTGTCCCCTTCTTGCTATTTGAGAAGATGGATACTTGAAACCAATGGGGAAAAGTTAAGCATGTGTGGCTTTCTTTTTCTCGATCTTAATTTGTTGTGAAATCTTGCCGTCAAGAATCCTTCTGTCGAGTTCCAAGAACACCTGAAAGAAAACCTTCTAAAGAACTCTCTATGTATTTAGTGATGATTGAGAACTAAATATATATATCCAAATCTTGTTTTCAGCAAGAATAGTTGCAAACTAAATATAAAATTCCTTCTTGGAATTTAAACACCCCAAGTCATCGTCACTGAATGGAGCTCTTCACATCCACATCCACTGAACCAAATCTTCCCAGAACCTCTTCCAGAAAGACCCCAGAACCTCTTCCAGAAAGAAGGGATGAAAGCTTTGATTGGATATTCGACAGGAATAAAGAACTGCGCACATCAACTCATCTGACCATCTACCTCCTTCATTCAGTAACCCTCCTTCTGTAGAAGCATGCCGCAAATCTTTCTGGCCAAGGACTGCTACCCGAACAGCTACCCGAACACTTGCAATCTGCAACGCCTTGCTGGAACTTCTTGCTACAGTTCTTGATCCTGTAGCAGTCGAATGCCTCCCTTCTGCGGTTCTTGTATACAGAAGGAAAAAAGGAGCAACAACAACAACCAAGCAAGGGAAAAACAAAAGAAAACAGAAAAACTGCAGGAATATAGGATATGCCACAAAGAATACAAACACAAGAACACAAAAGATTAAGTGGTTCGGTCCTTAGACCTATATCCACGGAGGGAATCACGACCAAAATTCACCAGCACAAAAGAAGAATTACAGACTCATTACATTGAGGAATCACCATGTCTCTCTAGATCGCTCTCTCTCTCTACAAGACCTCTCCCTCAATTCTAAAGCCTCTCCACTTCTTCCTCTCCTTGCTGAATTTTCTTCCTCCTCTTGATCTTCTTGATCATATTTTTCTATCTATAGTAGTCATTCCACCCCACAAGACCCCTCACCTATTTATAGATAAATAAGGCCTCCCAAGAGGCATGAAAAAAATTACAAGTATATCATGGTCATAATTAAGAGTCATAACATAATTGTAGTATGAGGCAGGTATATTAGAGGGCTTTTGTTTGTGATTTTTTTTTAATTTCTACAAAATTATGAGAACTGGGACCTTGGCTTCCTTTTTTGAGTTCAGGTTCTGTAAGAAATTGCGACGGGAGTAAGGCTGATAGTTCGACTTTTAAGTTTTAAATCCATCTAATGGCTGAATTCTCTAAATCCAGGATTTGAAACGAAACAAAAGAGAGATTAGATTTTTACATGCAAAATTTTTAAAACCAATTTCGTTCTGGAGTTGGTCGATGGCGGCAGCAAGAATTGGTTAGCGATGGAGGCCAGAGTTTGACGGAGTTGGTGAGACTGGCGGCGATGATCGGAGGACATGTATGGTGGGTTGCATGTTAGCGATCCAGGGATGCGAGATTGGATGGCGAGTGGTTGGGCAGAGGGCCACAACAACAATCCATGGGCATGGACGGTGGGTTGCCATGTCAGCGTTCTGGGGATGTAGGATGGTCCCACAGAATGCAGAAGAAATCTGGTGGATGCTAGACGGTCACGTTAGCGATTCAATTTTCAAATTAATATTGGATATCTTTTGTTTTTTTTAAATTTATTTTTGGTTCATTTTGAGTTTATAAATGGTTAAAAAATAGGAGAAAGAAGGTGGAGTCCCTTGTGCGATCAATATAACTCCCAGAAAAAAAATGTCCCGCATCTTGCTAGCAGATGCTAGCAGACGATTAATCATATCTTCTAGAAAAAAAAGCGTCTCCCTTGACCTGCTAGCAGAATATCAACGAGATCTCCAAGAAGAAAAAACGTGTCTCCTGGCCTGCTAGCATGCAATTAACGAGATATCCTATCACTTTTTTTTGAGTTTTTCGGAGGAATAAAATGAAGCTCCTAGCAGAATATCAACGAGATCTCCAAGAAGAAAAAATGTGTCTCCTGGCCTGCTAGCAGACAATTAACGAGATATCCTATCACATTTTTTTGAGTTTTCCGGAGGAATAAAATGAAGCTCCCCGTTCTGCTAGCAGAGGGCCACTAAGGTCTCATGAAAAAAAAGGCACCTCGGCTTGCTTAGAAGGCGATCAACAAGATCATCTTTCGCATAGTTATTGCGCTTTTCGGACGAGTTAGGTGAAGTCCCTCGGCTTGTTAGCAGACCATGAACGGGATCTCTAGAAGAAATAAAGGTGTCCCCTGGCTTGCTTGCAGGCGATCAATGAGATCACCTTTCGCTTTGCTATTGCTTTCCAGAGGAAGAAGATGGAGTTCCCTGACCTGTTAGCATACAATCAACAAGATCTCCAGAAAAAAAGGTGTCCCTTTGTCATGTTGCCCCTTTCGAAGGAAGGTGGAGTCCTGCCAACTCAGCGACATCCGCCTTCGAAAGAAAAATAAAATAAAATTATTTCAAGACCAAGTGATTTGAACTCATGACCTCACATAAATAAAATATACCATATAAATATATATTAAAATTCATCAACAAATGCATGAATCTCAAGAAAATATTTTAGAAAGAAATGTTCACACATTGATTGAAACTCATCCTGAAATTTGATTTCAGTAAACTCAGAACCAAACTGTTCAACTCGACTTGATGGACCGACGGTATCAAAATTGATCCAATCTAAGTAAAATCAAGCCCAGATCAAGCCTTTAAATTACTTTTGAAAGACTTCAGAACATAATTGGAAGGTCAAAAATATCCTAATTTGACAACCATACAATCAAATTGAGTGTCTCGACATGAAAAATCTAATGAGCAAAAGATTGCTAAATTGTGACATCATTAAAGCACTCATATGTTCATGAAACGCCATCAGATTAAGAGAACCTCTCCGAGTTGTCTGATGGGGTAGTCAAGATTCCTTCTTTATTTTCAAATAGACCTCTAGCAGACCCTATAAATAAAAACTCACTTCTCTCATGAAAGGGGGGAGAACATGACTGAAGAAGATCAAAGCTTTGAGGAGAAGCAGAAAGACAACATCGCTTTTGCACCACAGATTTGACGAATACATCTCATTTATATAGTTGTAGACCACCACCAACAACTGCCCACTTATCACAGTTAGCCACTATCAATCGCCCATAACTCGTTGTAATGAAACCTCTTGTTGAATCACGATGTGTGATGCAGAGCTCCAACCATTATTGATTAACGAGGCATTATACAAAAAAAATGCACCTCACATATGGTGCAATACTATACCCCGATGTCAGTGTACCAATGCACTCTGAATATGGTGCAATGACACACCCCGATGATGGTGTAACAATGCACTCTACATACGAGCAACGATGCATTTTGAAACTAGTGTAACAATGCAACTCGAAGACGATTGCTTTCTCTGAACACTTGAAGCCCTTTCCTTCCAGCTCATCACTAGGGTCATTATGGTTAACAGTTTGTGTAGCTCTCGACTCTGGCCCTTGTAGCCAATATACATCCTCACAGCTTACCACTATGACATATGTGATCAATTGTAACATACTTGGTCTACAACTACTGCAAATCTCGACTATGACCTCTAAGGCTTACAAACATCATCAGATCTCATCATTACAAACTACATGACTAACCATGTTCTATGTGATCCACAACTCGTGTAACTCTTGGCTCAGACCTCTATAACTTACATATGCCATCATAACTCACAACTATGACCTATGCGACCAACTACGGACTATATGATCCACAACTCATGTAACTCCCAACTCCAGCCTTTGCATTTTACAAACGTTATCACAATTCACCATTATGACTTACATGACTATCTACAACATACGCGGTCCAGAGGTCGTGCAACTCTCGAATCTTATTGTTGCACATTACGAACGTTATCACATCTTACCACTACAGACTATGTGACCAACTATGACCTACATGGCTCACAACTCCTACAACTTCCTACCACAACCTATGTAGCTAACCGATGCTCCTAAAGCAACTATCTGTGGCCCAAATAATGAACTACTACCATGAATTTAAACTACGACCTGTACGACATGATAGTGCTACAAACACCATATACAACATTCATGACCTACTACCTCCATAACAACTAACTACAACCCTTGCAGCCTACTATCAATGAGAACTAAATTCATTACAACTAAACTATGACCATTATTAATGAATTATTG